GTTGTGCAGTAGTTACCTCTAATGTGTAATCTGGTGCATCGTCTACAACACATTTGCTGCCCATCAATTAGAAAGGCAACAACCTAAAATTACATTCCAAATAAAACATCTATAAAACTATTCTTTGCGCCATCAAGTCCTTAAATTGGTTATTTCTACTTCACACTAAGTGAAATATTAAAAAGCTATTCCGAGATAAAATAATCTGTACAAATCACTATTATTCGGCATGTCTGCATTTACTAATAGGAGCAGCTGTGAGACTTGCTTCCAAGAGCTTCAATTACATATTTGGTACACAGAGAACTGGAGGGAAAAAAACTATCTGGATTGCCCACAGCATCCAGATGTTGGCTTATGTTTTCTTATTTACAACTGGAAAACGATAACATCTGGGAACTTTAGTTGTCACTGTTGGTGCCACAGGTATTTTCTTCCCTTCATTTTTAATAATGAACTCACTTTAAAACTATCGGGGGGGGGGGGGGGGTGGTTTCAAAAATGCGGGGGGGGGGGGGGGGTGTGTGGCAGCCCCCCAAAAATGGATATTTCAGTTTTTGGTAGATGTTAGAGAGTTAAACCACCTGACAATTTTCAAGAACTGTTGTGATGTCTACACTTGGAATTGTTCGTTCTGCATACCAACTTCAAACCATTATGGATGAGAGGAGTGGGGCACTAAACAATACAACAGAATGTGCTAAAACACACAATGATGGGGGAACACTCATAGGTGAACACAGAGTTGAGAGTTATGGAAGTTGGACTATCCAAGACATATAATAAGCAAGTGGCTGACTCGGCCAAAATACATCACTTTTGGATGGACTGGACCTTTACTCTAAATTAAGACCATTTATCAAAGTGTCCAAGGGAAGGATTGTCACAAAATAAATGTTGGTCATGGAAACGATATTCCTAATTTGCCAAGGAAAATGAAATAAAGGATTTACGGTCTGTGGCAATTCTTTCTTTAATTGTCCAGTTCTCTCTTACTCTGCTATTACAGAGCTGATAGACGCTGCCTTAGCCAGCTCTTCGCTCAGACACACTAGGATTGATTTGCTAAAGGAAAATAGGCTGTTAAGGGATTGCTAAGGGAAAATTCCCTTGCAAAGTGAACAGCATATTTGCCTTTAGTAAATCAACCCTACTGACACCTCTTGTCCGAATTAATCGATTAGCCATGAAACTAATCTACAAAAAAAAAAGAATTTTTGTTTCACCTGCCTTGGATGCTAGTTTAAATGAAGCTCCTGATAGGAAACGATCCACACAATTTGTATACTGAAGTGGTTTTCATAATATTGTGGGAATTGCACATAGCGACCAAGCACAATACAGTCATCTGTCAATTAGTGCAAGGCAGAAACCATATAGGCTTATAACCAAACACTGGATTAGGTAGCACGGCAACACATATTTTGTTACCCCAGTTTATAACCAAGACTGGTTGTTTTTATTTTTAATGTCTATTTTCAATACAGGACGCTCTGATAGCACTCACTGTGTGCTTTGCTTGCACACAGTGAAGGGCATTTATGCATGCAACATTGTGATTTTAATGATAAAGCCCTTTAGGATGTAATTGTATAATGTATATATACCTATGTGTACATTTACAGACATAGTTCTTTAAGACCCAATAACCGCATAGGTATGTTTGTATAATGTAAGTAATGCAATACGTTTAATGCTGCAGACTTCTAAAACTTCACAGTAATATTTGCTGTACTATACCCCTTGTGATGCATTTACAGCTGCCACACTACATAGAATTAACTTATTTACATTGGACTGTTTAGGTTTGTGTGAAGCTGCTTAGTCCAGCACAGCAATCAGTATAGGGCAGCTGACTGCACAGTTCATCTAGAATAAGATGGCTTCATCTGACTACAGGAATTAAGATGGAAGTAACCAATAAACAAAACGGTAAACTGAACATGGTGTTCTGTGTTCAATGGTGTTTATTTATGAAAAACAGAATAAAGCGGATAGTTCTACTTAAAATGAAATTGCCAGCACACCTTAAATAACCAACTATACAGATAAGAAACAATTCTGTGGAATGTCAGCAACATCGAAGAAATGCATGGATTTAATAAATAATATAAAATGAACTCTTGTTAAAATATAACTCTTGGTCTATTCCTACATAACTACCTTCATTTACCAAAATACAGCCAAGTCCATAACAATTGAGTTCAAACAGGATGAATGAATGAACGAACATGTGCACAGTTTTGCTGAAGGGAGAGAAAGGAGTATTTTACCTTTACATGGCTGAAATATGTACAACAATATGCAACACAGATGCCACAAAAGAAAGATGGGTTGCATGGGTACAAGTGTCAAGACACAGAAGCATTGGCTAATTTGGATTCAGGAAGCAATAATACTATACATGGCTGCTCCTTCCATTTGTACACATTACAACAATATTCTGTTTTCTCAATAATATAGGAAAGAATGGCACAGCAACATTTTTCCAGTATAATATGGTTTACACAAGTGATCAAGACAGCATCCCTGGTCTCCCTGCACTGTGATCTGCCCTCCTAGAAAGCCGTAATGGACTTCTAATGAAACTGTAATGTGTAACGAGCATTCTTCATTATGCTTGCAGTAATGACTCTGCATTGATCTATATTTACTGATCATTGGGATTGCACATGTTCCCATAGGGGTATGTGCTAATGTTCTTGACTTCTCTGAGACAACAAACAGTAAGCTACTACCAGAATTATTATATAAGAAGTGCCATACTAATCTCAAGTGATTGTTTAAAGCACATTAGCATCCCTATTGTATGGCCAGCATAACTACAAATTGTGTCTTCTACAAAGTCCTTTGTATTCAGGGTACATCAGTCTCCTTCCTTCATTGCCTGCACAGGCACCATCATGAAACATGCAGTGCAGCCACACCTAGATGTCGATTGTCACTACATAGCTCATATACACTTTACAAGGCTAATAGCGACCTAATGATATTCATGACTAGTTATTTGCTAATTTGGGCAATTCTGTATGAAGTCTCATGTTTAAAGATGTCTAATTACAGTGTTTATGGTGAGTCAAATATTTTTCCAAGCTTTCACTAACATTCAAAACCTCTCCGATTCTGCATTATTAGGAAGGCTTGAGCTGGAGGACAGCTTTCTTGTAGTTTATATAGTGTACAGTGTTCTAAAGGGACAATGATGGAGTATGGTTTAGCTAACATGCAATTATAATATATCAAACTAATTATGACATAGCTGCAGCAAGTGTCTTAGGGAAGTCAGACTATTCAATCTACAGTAGGCTAGAGGATATTTAGGTAGAAAGAAATGAAAATTCACCAATTGTTATATTTAGTATGAGTATCCTCATGTGTATGAGGTGACTGTACTACAATAAGGAAGCAGGAATTTTGCCATTGAATAATACAGTGTGAAACATTCTTTGCAAAGGGATCAATAAAATAGTTTTTCTCTTTAGAAATGTGCTTTGATTTACTATATAACCTTCAATATTGTGCTTTGCCACAGACCTGGCCACTATATTACTAACCCATCTATTTGTGTAGACATCTGAGGAAATTTATACTGAGAGTCAACGGCTTACCTACAACACTTGCTTAACCAAAAGCAAATAAATAATTATATTTTATCAGTAGCAAATACTAGAAAAACATTGTGGAAAAAAGGTGCAGTAACTCATGTGTGGATGCACCTTTTCTCCATTCACTTAGCTTCATTGTACTTTCCGATTCATAGAAGAGTGGAACCTGACATATTTTATACACAAGTACAATCCATATCTAAAGAAAAAAAGATGAGCTAACAGGGGGGAAATACAAAATTATTTGGACCACAAGGTGTTTCAAGGTCAGAAATCACTAAAACACAGTCTACATGAGTGGCATTCTATGAATAGAGGAGTATACATGCAGTTTTCAGTGACATGCTGAGCTAAACTTGAGTGTTGTCTTTAATAACAGCCAGTGGTGATGCAACTTAAACCTTCTGCACTGTACAGTGAGTGATTGCTTCCAAAGATTGATCTCACAATTAAAAACAAGCAAATGGTTACAAAATAAAGTTGGAGTAGGATTGTATGGTTTGCCAAATTAACCCATTGTTTTCCCAAAGAGCAGAGCTGATATACATTGAAAACAGTAAAAAAAATGTAGATAAGATTTTGCACGTGAAGCAAATTTCTCTTAGCTGGTTAACAAGTTTTGTAGCAAGTATTGGCAGGGTCAGCACCTATGCATTATAATAAACTGTAATCATCATGTTACAAAAGAATTTGCCATTTCTACCCAACTATAAAAAATGAAAGTGCAACCTTAGTTGACCAGTAATATAATGTACATGTGTGCTTATGTTAATGATCGTGCAGTGTATGTGGATACTGTAATATGTTTGATATCCAAGTTCTATAGAAACTATAGTAAGATGCTTTCTTTCGTATCCCTCTCTTAGTGATATGGTTACATTTGTTTAAGTAGTTAGACTTTATTACTCACACATGATGGGGTCATATTAAGCACAGCACTACGGAATTTTACCCAGAAAAGTTATTAATACGAATGGTTGACAAGGTGCTACATGAAGAGATAAATGGTATGGGTGACATTAGAATTATAATTTTATTGCTATGTAGTACAGGTCCTACATATCAGTGCTCAGTCAGTAACAGTCATTGCACCTTTCTCCATCATAACTATGGCTTCCGCTAACTCTTAAAGTACAATAGGACAATAGTTTGAAAGTGATGATTACCAAGGTTGTGACAAAACCCTGTAATAGAGAAAGAGGAATTGCATCCATATTTTATTTACTGTATTATGCCATATCATCTTTCTCCTTTCTTCCACATTTATAGTTATCAAACAGTTTAAAATTGTAAAACTTTTTTTTTTTAAACATTACTTGTTCTAGCATTTCGCTGCGTCTATTTAGGGCTTTGCAGGACAATTTTTTTTAAATCTTGTAACCATTTCTTGTATAACCACTGTTGACAGCAACATAAAATGCAAGTTAAAGTAAATTTACAGCGAATGAGTCTCATTATTCCCTTACAATTACTCGCATGTTCATGACAAACACTGCATGTGATTTTAATAAAAATATAGAGATTCATACTTCACAGTAGGTTTATTTTTATCCAACCAATAACCATTTGACTCCATTTATACTAAGAACATCACATTCATTAGACTCCCCTCCTCAGTGGTTCATCAATCTGCTCATACGGTGAGTACCACTGTAAGTAATTAAACCAGGAGGGAAATTAATGCTGATCAGCTGGCCTTCCAAAGAACTCCTTACTATGAATGCAAGTATAAAATGTAAGATGAGAATGAAAATTACAGCAGTGTTTTCTCTCACGCTATTGTAACAAATTGTTTTTAAATTAATATTTACAGATACACTTAGACGTTAATGGTATATATAGTGAATCTGTTTTTAGGACGTTTTCAAGTCCATTGGCACTTTGCACTTTACTGAAAAAATAAAAAGGCGGACGCTAAACTCTGGGGGCTGCCATGCAGTTGCGATGCTGAGTCACAATTTGAGCAAGATGCCTTTCCAGCTAATGTTTGTAACCTTGCACAGCTGTATATAGCAGGAAGTAACAAAAGAGCTGTATAATTGTCTTCTCCTGCCTAGTTCAGCCAATCAGGATTTATAGTCGCAGTGACATGGTCAAAGGCTCTGCAGCTTTGTTGTAGCCACCTAATAAAATGACAGTACTAGAGGTCCCAACATTAGACATATGGAAACAAGGAGAGCAACTTCAAATAGTAAAGACTGTTTTAGGACTACAGCATGACGCGTACCAAGATTATCCAACATTCTCACCTGCTTTTCACTTAAGCAAAAATCTGATTCTAAAAACAAAACAAAATCAAGTGCAATTGACCTGGAAAGGGAAAAAAAAATCGGTTTTAATAATAGCTGTAAACGAATCTGAAGAATGAGCTCGATTCAAACTGTGCTAAACTGGCTAAAAGACCACTGGACAAAGCTACCATGCACTCCAGTTCACCAATAATTACTCCACTATGATATTTCTACCCTCATACACAGCAAGACAGTGGCAGCCACTATTTTGGTGAACACACAGAAATGGGTGACTATTCTTGGTATGTACATCTTGTAACCACAGGACAGGTAAAAGTCATTGAAGTGCATAACAGTATCATTACACTGCTAGTTTAAAGTCAACAGTGCAAGTTGGGAGGACAAAAGGAAAAAGGGGCAATTATGGCAACACTCAGGAAAGCTATCATCTTGAGAACATTCTTATAACTTGGCAATGCCTTCAGAAAACATCCAGGGATATGTTGAAATTTAGACATAAAAATCAACGTAAAAGCAACTACTGCAAAAAACCATTTCATATTCTTGTCTGGCATACAGCAAAGCATGCATATGCCAAATTTACAAAAAAAAAAGAAAAGAAAAAAAGAAGGTCTGATGCCTCGCTTCTTCATCATTAAGACATAGGTCATTCAGGATAAGCTGATGCAATAGAATGATGAGCAATCACTAAATTTGGCAACTTTCACAACTCTTCTGTTAGTGAAAATTCATCTTTTCTTTGCTTCAGGCTGTGTGACCTCTTCTAGACTTCAGGCGGAAAGACCCAGTCTTCAGTAGACTAGACAATGTGTGATGCAGGCTCCCAAACTTTCTCCTATGTACACCTTGCTTTTTGAGGGCCACACAAGTAACTAATATCAATGCTGTAGACCTTGGGCAAGGTGGTTTAAGTAGTTATCCCTAAGAATTCTTGGTCCCATCCTGCCACTTAAAGGCCATTGCTATTTCTGTGACTGAGTGGTGGTTTAGAGATCTCTACAACTGCAGATCGGGGCTTGTTCAAGAACTTTGGAGCCCGACGTAATAGCCTCTGTGCCTCAGTAAATGCTTCAGTCAGTTCCTTCTTCCACTGTACAAACTCTGGGTCACTCTGTCAAAGCACATAGAAAATACATTATTACAAATACATAACATATAAAATTAAAGAGAAATGGAATGCGTATTTAAGACAATTTGTATTTTATAAATAGGTACATTTGTATCACATGGTTTATACATTCTACAATGCATTTCATTCACAGTTAAAATAGTGCTTTTGACAAAAACAATAGGTAATGTACTGAGGAACAAAGAAAAGCTTTCATTATAAATCCAAACCCAAGCTGTAGGTTTTAAACATAAACCCAAAACACAGTCTTAACAGGTTTTTTTTTGTGAAGTTTTTTTTTAAAACTCTTAAGACCACGCATTTGGGTTTTATGTTTCAAAACTTGGGAAATCCCTAACCTGAATAGGTACTGTATTGGTAAAGTAAGACATGGATTACCTGGTACAAAGAAACCTATTTTATTTGCAAAAGCAGAGAAAATAATCATCACTTCCAAACTTCTTAATGCTGTCATAGTATCAATGTTCTACTGAAAATCTAGCAGCCCCTTAATCAAGACAAACTCAAAAGAGTGAATTACTAATATGAAAGCTTTAACTTTGCAATATAAAGAAATTGAGTATTATGAAGTGGCTGGCTCAGATTTTAAAGAAAGTGCATATTACTGAAGCACACTATACAATTTGTAGTGGCAATGTCCCTGGGTGGAAAATTGGGCAAGGTGCACTTAGGGGTGCCTGAACATACCCTGAAAAAACCCTTCAAACCTCTCTGTCATGGCCGAATCGCAGACCATTGTGAGGGGTACAGCTTTGCACTTCTTGATACTGATGAACTTGCCCCCTCCATCCTACTTGCTGCAAGTTTCTACGAGCCAGCAAGAAAGCATTTCATTGTGATGGGCCAAAAAGAATGTGTCAGTAGGGCATGGCAACAAGCTTCATTACAGCAGTTTGCTCCTCCCCCCTCAGTGACACTAAGAGCATAATGTTTGCAATAGAAACCAATCAGTACTGACTATGATTTCGGTCTGCTACTTCAACTATATTTCCTTTTTCTTTCTAAATGTATATGGCTTTTACAATATACTCTGTAAGAACACTTGTAACACTATATTTAGAGATTATACTTTTACAAGCTGATTTGTACAGTTCTATCAGTGATTTGTAGTATATACAATTACCTTTATAGTTGCCTCTACTGTGAAAAAGCTTATTTATATTTTATTGTTGAACAATGTTATATGTATTGCAATTGGTTTTCCTCAAAAAACTAACTACAAAACAAAACATTACAAACAACCCCCACAACATTTCACGAAAGACTGACTGAAATGCAAAGGATTACCTATACTAAAACATGGTTTAATACCGTAAACTGTAACTCATGTATCAGCAACAAAAACATTTCCCATATTTTTGATACATTTTTAAAAAAATGCATTAATGTTTTTATTTGCTTTGAAAAATATATGAACTCCCTCTTCAAGTGCAGATATAATGGATTTACTGTCTGTAATGGCTAGGTGTGCCTTGGGTTTCATTCGCTTTTGGGATACACGCCAATTACGCTGGTTTGCATCCAAAGCTCACTATCCACATGAGTTGTATGACCGATGTAAGGACATTAGATTGCACACCCCTTTCAGGGGCTGATGTGAATAGTTCACTGCTCTTTGTAAGGAACTGAAAAAAATTTAAGTTCTATAAAAATGAAAATCCCAAAAAAATGTCAATGTATTTTTAACTACCTGATTTACTAAATGGTGAATACAAAATAATGAAGATTTAAAAATATACAAAAGGGTAATGTCAGCTCATTAAGTATTTACAGATAACAGTGGTTTACCTCACACTGCAGGACAAACTGTTTTGCTCCTTTGATCCTTAGCAGGATACATTTCTTGTCCTTAATCTGAGTTTCTTCCACAGATACTATCTGTTCCATTGTCAATAGATTTTGCTGCATAATAGAAGAATAAATAAGACACAGATGTCTGGGAATTAGATCCAGCACTTCCAAAGCTTGTAGTAGACAATACTGCTATATATAAACATAATAGAGATTGTCATTAAAATTACATCTCTTATTAAACCTACAACTAAACGACACAAGCTAGAATGGCTCACCAGACAGATACCACTGAGACATGTAGCTACAGATGTTCATATAATACTAATATTTGGTAAAACTTGGAAGTAAAAAAATAGCTACTACAAGAGAACACTCATGTAATTATTATCATGTAAAAAGCATCAAAATACGTCTCTGACCAGTTGTGGACACTGGGCATGCAACACTTACCCAAACAAACTTCATTGAAGTACACAGGGCATGTGTACTATGGGCTGTCCTTCTAACTCACTGCAGCTCCCCCTTGCACTAACTGGCAATTTCTGGCTGTCATCATGACAGATGGGAGTTGCTGTGTAAAAACAGCAGCTGTAAAAGCTGCTTTTGCAAAATAAAAATGGACCTTCCTACACAGTGTCAATGAACACTGTTTAGATGTGAGATAGAGAGATACAAAGGAACACTGTTACTTGGGTATCCACTCTGTTTATTTCATGTGCAGATCAAGAAGTGAGCTTTGATCTGCAAACATATTTTGTTCCTATTTAACCTGTTACTAACCCTTCACATACCCTAATCAGCCCTAATAAACTTCTTCTCCCCTTAAAAGAGAACTAGGGCACACCTTTCTTGGCTGTAGTTCTCCTTACTATGTTCTCCTGTGACCAAAAACTCAGCATTTAGCAGGATAGTGCCTGTTATATGCTGACAGCACAGGACCGCATTGCAGCCTGGAAAGATCCCAGCAGTATTGTCGGGATCCACCCCGCTGCCTGATTGACAGATGGGTCTGCCTCACTAGAGGCAGAGCCATTTGTGCCCACCCCCTCCCCCATCAGATCAGTCAGAGCTGGTGGAACGGAGGGGAGGGGGAATCCTTGCGGGGAGAGGTGACTGAGCGATCAGTGGTTTGTGATTACTCAGCTCTCGATCAAAAGAGCCAATGTGTGAAAGCTTCAGTGTCGCACGTTGGCTCTAACTATGGGTATGAGTGTATTTCACTCATCCCATAGTTCACCTTTACCCAATATGTTCCTGTTTTTTAATTTATATTTTTCTAATCATTAATAATTTAACTTTTTTGTTGTTATCAGCTTTATTTGTAACTTTGTTTTAGTGTTGCAGTAAAATAGAAAA